CCCCCCCCCCCCCCAGTTTCCCTCCGCGGTATTTACGTGAAATCCCGAGATCGCGAGCCAATGCTTCCCTTCGTTCGTTCTTACGATACGTGCTCGCGACCTAATCGAAGGACACTCCGGCTAGCTCGAGCACACAACAGTCCCCCCCCCCGGGCGGCGTGTCACGAAGACACGGCGAAGAAGCGGTGAATAGCGCCTTAATAACAACTCGTCTGTCCCGTATCCGGAGTCGTGACGACGCAGCAGCAACCTGAGCCCACGCGTAAAAAGCCGACGTGACCATCGAATTCGCGGATTAGCGAGATCCCGTTCTCCAGGCGAGCACGAGGCGTAGAAACGAGAACGGAGAAGAAGAGAGGAAAAGACGCGTTAAGCGGGGTTTACAATGACAATGTAAGGCGTTAAGATTTAAGAAATTGACCAATCATAAAATTGATTTTTCTTCCATAATTCGACTGTGATTGGTCAAATTTTTAAGCCTTGAGCCTTAAGAAATTGACTCACAATCGAATTACAGAAGGATAATCAATCGTGATTGGTATCGTATTTTTTTAAGGCTTAGAGCTTAAATTCTCATTGTAGACCCCGCTTTAGTCTCCTCTAGTCTACATGCTAGATGCTTTAAGCCTTAAGAAATTGACCAATCACAATCGAATTGTAGAAGAATGATCAATTATGACTGGTCAATTTCTTAAGGCTTAAAACTTAAAACATTATTGTAAACCTAGCCTTACGCGTCAAGCGTAGACCCGAAATCTAGTCGATTTCAGGCGGAATCGCTTGCGCGGATAAATCTCGGACGATCTTCGTCCCACACGTCGTGACGCGCGTCAGAGCTGCTTTTCCCCTTCGTTGCCGTCGAACTTGCGAGTCGTGCGATCATTCCACGAGTTGCAACAAACGCTGCAACGACACACTCAACGTGCAACATGAGAATAGACCGAACACACACACACACACACACATATACGAAAAATTCATTTAGAACGACGCGGGAAGACGGAAGGAAATTTCGCGGACATTGTTGCGACGAAAATACGACGCACGTGCGTGCCCACCGTTTGCCACTTGTATGTCGCTCGTTGAAACCCGCGACTGTTGTCGGACAATAGCGAGACTTTTTCTGACCTGACTTTCACGTACTCGCAACCCGATCATAACAACGATGTTTTGAAAGCAGCGACAACAAGACGCGGTGAACAAACACGCAAAAAAATAAGAAAAACTAAGGCGCCGTGCGCACATACACAGACGTACACGTGGTGTAATATCGGAATGATATTTAATAAAGGCTTTCGCACACGAAGTGAACATAAAACGTAAACTTAAACTGAAGAAACAATCAGGATATTTGTTTTTAGATTTATGTATTCGAGAAGAACACACACACACACACACACACACACACTCTCTCTCTCTCTCTCTCTCTCTCTCGCTCTCTCCCTCCTTCTTCTTCTCTACCGCTAATCTAATAGTAAGAAGAAGTAATTAAGATTTAACTGGAATCTTAGTGACTTCGTTTTAAGTCTAATTACACCATCACTTCCATTTTCTTCTAAAGTACACAAACCTAAAGCAATATCCTGATTAGATCTTCAGCCTAAATTTATTTCTTATGTTTACGATTACGCTAATTCGTGTGCAAAAGTCCTAAAGTCGTCTACAGTAGACGTAAAGTATGCAGTAAGACATAATCAGTAAGCTAATTGACCAACTGGATTCTAACAGTCCATGAATAATCGACTGTAGCTGATCAATTAGCTTAATACTTACATCTTACTATATACTTTACAAGCAGCAGTGCTGCCATTCAGCCAACGAAAGAAAAAAAGTGACTTTTCAGGCATCAAAATAGTAACCAAAAACAGATGATATTAATAATTAACAATTAACATTTATATATATATAATAATTAAAAGTTGTTTGTCAAATTCGGAGTAACTAAGACTATTTAAGCAAAAAAATAACACTTATCCTCTTAAAGTTTTTTGCATAGTACGATTTTTCATAACAAGAAAAGACTAAAGGCATAAACGATACAAGTACGCTTTCGGAACCGTTTTATTCAGAGAGGCCGACAAAAAAAATATATAGAACGCTTATATTTTACAAATTTAACGGCAGGTCAAGAAAAGAGTGATTATTTGAAAATGTGATCTATTTTGGACGATAGTGAATTATTTAGTGACTAGTTTGGAAAAAGTGACAAAAGGTGATTTAAATGACTGAATTGACAGCGTTGCTACTTCAGACGGTCCTTAAGGTTTCGCACGGAAAAAGAGAAAGACAAACGAAGAAGCATCTATTATCTATCATCTATCTATGGGCTATGGTCAGATTCACATTTACAGCGACGTATAAGCGTTATTCTATTTTTCTATTACATTTTTTATTATTATTGTATTATTCTATTTTTCATATAATGAACAATAAAGATAGAATGACGCTTACAACGATATAAATCGTAAATCGGCAC